ATATATATATATATAATATATGTATATATATATATATATATATATGATTTGCGAATTGGATGTACGTCAACGAGCTTCTATCTATTCGAGCGAAAACCTTTACTTTTCTTCACCTTTTACTTCATTACTTGCTTAACTTCTGGGGCTCACTATTAGACATGCTCACTATTAGAATAGTTAAAACCATTTTTCATACATTGTTGTAAATAACGTACGTATTCATATTTAGTTTGACTTTCCACAAATGATTTCGTGTCTTCATGCAGACATTGTTGGTGTGAAGACAATTTGGCGGATCGGAATATATGTCTTAGGGATCTCTCAGTGAATCAGATATACGTCAACGACGAAAGGGTACGTGAGATTTTATTTTTGTCATCTCTCTCCTGGGTCGTTTTTAAATTTGAGCGAACATTGGATTCTCCAAACGTCTGCTTGCGGTTCCCGGGAATAAGTGATTAGCATTTTCGTAAGTCTCAGTGCGTTAGTTATCCATAAGATGGCATCAATCGCATGCGTATTCATATACTCTTCGTTAATTAATCATGAAATTAACGCCTTAGAAAAATAGCGATAGTGAAGTTTGGTATAATTTTTCCAATCGAGTGCAGAGGGTTAGTCTGTAGTCCGGAAAGGGCTAACAGGTCTCATTAGCATTCCTTGGCATCTTGTTAAATTTGTAGTTTACTTTTGATTTTCCGTCCACTAGAAAGTATGAGTCGAATGCACTTCGCAATCATTCGAAATTGGTTACGCTTGGAGATTCATTCATTTATAACGTACTTGCTTACACTGCTTTTATTTATTTGCTCACTCTTTTTTAATCCTAACTATTTTCAGATATCGCATTTCTTGTAGAATGACGCCTCGTGGTATCAGTGACGGACCATTATGCTCACCAAAAGATAACCAGTACTTCGAATATTTCTATTTCTGCCGATTCAACCTCGACATGTTCAGTTCATTTATTATTCTAATCTTTCAAGTCAAGCACGTAATTTCAAGACATACTCTAATCTAACATCTGAGGATCTATCTTTTTCAGAACCTGGAAAGATCAAGGTGCTAATAATTCACTGGTAAGCATCCATTGGTGTTTGCACTGGTGAACACTGCGTAATTCTTATATATACGGAATAGGCTATTTTCAGAAAGGTTTCCGTTATGACAGCGGTGTTAGTTATGAATAAAAGAAGAAATGCTCGAAAGTGATGTGGCAAGTCTCTCTTTACATGTCACACGAGAATTGTTCCGCCCGATATTTTTATGATCGGTACCAAAGTGAATAAACAACAGCTTGAAATAGAAACTTAAGTGCATAGACGACAATTTTTGTTTATGAAGGTTCTGGTATTTGATAGTTGCAGAGCTGGAGATGTTGACGGGTGATGGCAGTCCGACACACTCCGACGTGAATATTGCTGCCGAGTACGGTGACGATCGCGTGGTGTTCGCCGTCCACAAATATAAGCTCATTAGCCATTCGGACGCTTATCGTGCTATGCCGATACACAATGTGCGAGAGAGCAAGGTTTGTTTTCGTGTTAGATCTCGATTAGATAGGCATTAATTCTAATGGAACTCAAGAACATACACGCATTAAATGTGTTATTCGAAGTTCTGGTTTGTTTATGTCACGAGGAGAGGTAACTATTAACATCAATATGAGTATTTTATAATGTAGTCTGGACTACAACAGTGCATGTGGTGCAGTACTAGAAGTGCTCTGCGAGACACATGATCGTTCAACCGAGTATTGATGCTCTGGCGCCGCGCTCAACACTTACCAAGCCCTCCATTTCTTCAGGGTCGGAAAATTGGAACGAAACTTGCATGGGACAATAGTATCACCGACTGGATACATATGCAGGCCATCTCGAGTCATTCTGATGCTTAGACACGCATTTAAACACCTCACATTGAGGCTGGAAGATAAAGTAATGCATGGCGCATCCCTAATCAGTCATACACTTTGACAGAAGATTTACCAAATCCAGATTTTGATCATATCAAACACAAAACTAATTTCTGATATACTCATCGCTTTTTATAAGTCTTCCACAATGTTGTCTCGGTGGAGATCAAACTTGCAGAGATCGCATGGACTAGTAACGCATTGCCCACTGAAAATACCTTTATGTATTGTTTCATCTCACGTGTAATTCCGAGGCATTCCTTCCTGTCCTTCATGCTTGGATTGTTGGCGTTTAAACAAATCGTTTCCAAATCTTATGAGCTGATGTTTCATGTTCTTTTCCGAGGAGGCGACTTCTAGTGCAAATATCAATGGATCTATATTATAATCGTGTCGATGTAACCCACTGACCGTGATCGTTCACCATCTAAGGACATGTTGCACGCCTTTTACACAGGATTATGTTATTATCACAGAAATTCATTCATTTTTCACTAGTCTAACGTACGGACCTCAACACAAATCATTAATAGTAATCCCACTTCATAATTCCTCTTTCCTGTAAAAATGTTTCTTTATAGGAAACATGTGAGGCTCTGTGAGAGCTTCCTAAAGGTGAACAGCGAGCCAGATGAGCGTACATACACATTCGTATGTTATGTATTTGGTATTGGAAATGACTAGAGCCCGAGAACGTCGATTCGGTATCTCGTTTTTTCTTACTTCAAACATTTGTAATGAACACCTATGATCTCGGTGAAGAAAGGTCTCATGTTATTCATCTGTTCAGGATAAGCGCAATGAAAAGCGCGTTTTTGGCCCGTTGGTCTACAGCATGCTTGCCACCGGTCTCAGATTCTACCTCTGCTCCATCTGCGCTTGATCGCAATCACAGATTGTGAATCGCTTCTGATGTCGATCAAAACGCGCAAGGACAGGAAAGGATTTATAGCTTTTTCTTTTTAGATTTATATTATTCCTGAAATATAGATTAATTCATATATACACATACGTGTATGTATATATACATATATGCATATATATACATATATATATATGCGTATGCATAGTGCGAAAACTCTTGTAATTTTTGTATTTTGTTAATTTTAGCATTGATATAATACTTTTTAATTTCGTTTTGAAGTGATTGAATGCATATCGCTTCTGATGCCAATCGAAAACATGCAAGGACTTTTTTTTGAGCGCATGTGGCGCATTGGTGAGAGGTGCTCTGCGTCTCACACGAGCTCAATGGTTCGATCTCGCTCTCATGGCTCACCAAGCCATCCATCCCTCCGGGCTCGGTAAATTGGTACCACACAGGTCTCAGACTTGTCTGGGAGGATAAGCAGCACTGACTCGGTTGAGCGGGAGGCCACCGCGAGTCATTGCAAAGACCAGATATGCATTCAAACATTCAAACGAAGTTAGAAATTGAAGTCGAATGCATGGCGCATACCTCAGGGATTGATCAACGCCGAGAGCTTTATCCTTTTTGTATTATTTTTATTAGTTTTGACAATTTTATTGAATTCTTTGCTTAACCTTCGTTTAGAATCTTTGTATTTATTTGTCTAGTTTCAGATGTGCTAAATTTGTGGATCCTAAAATAGTGGACTCTGTATACCGTGCCCGTTTATTTACGCGGCGTCCACACTGCGATAGCAGTCAGACCCGAGGCCTGCTACAAGTGTGTTCATTTGTCTTAAAATTTGCCTCTGTATTTATAATAATTAGTGTGAAATAAGTTGCGAAATTAAGCTGATAGAGCGATCTCGGACACGAATAAGTTAAGCAGTGGTGGTTTACAGAGTGTGACTGACAATATGAAAATTTGAGTCTTGTTATGAATGAATTATGTGCTTTCGAAGACTAGACGTTAAACGTTTTTGGTTTAATCATATATTCATTGATGATCGAGCCAGTAGCTCAAATTTCGCGGACATTGATTTATTTGGCTAGCGGTTCGATAAATAAATTTATTTCTACGAACTTTGTGCAGTTGTCTTGAACAATGCAAAATAGATGCTGGTCGAAGGAAAAAAGCAAACAGAACTTAAAACTGATTTATACCAGCCACACTAAGCGATATGAGCTCAAGAAGTAGTTTTTTGAATGGAAGCCCTCCTATCAATTCATTCATTCATCATTGTTTCTTCCTTTTCGTTGGGCTCCTCTATGTATCACGTTAGTTTTCCTTGACATAAGTGGCATTTCATGAAACCCTTTTTGGAGTATACTTATATTGTTGTAAGGTGTTTTAGGAGTGGAGTCCAAAGAAGGCACAGATGCTTTTACAAAAGTTGAACTAACAAAGAAGATCAGGTACCGAGGAGAGGTAAGCGAGTTATCGTGAAGGTGAGAGGTAATTTTGCTGCTCTCACTGAAAGACTACTAATAGGGTGGTTCTATCTCAGACTGCAGCCGGCGAGAACCATCTCACTATAGTGGAAAAAAATATGACAGAGTACTGACATGCGGAGACGGAAAATGGGACAATTAGGTGGAATCAGAGGAACTGACTAAATGAAGCCACGTACGCATTTCATGTATATGAGTTTTTGAGATGGATTGGTTGACTGATGTAATATAACTTTTTGGTGTTTTCCATTATACTATCCTGCAGCTTAGCTTTACTTTCGACTGTTTGTAAAGGCGTCGCTCAAAATCAATAAGAAGCTGATACTATGATTACATATTCTGAGCCTTTTATGAGGTCTGGTATGGCTCGTATTATTCATTGCGCCAGCCATAAGCGCTCAGCTGTGGTCTTTGAATGTCGAGGAATTATATCACCTGACTTGCGGTGATTTCTTATCCGGCGTCTATTCCCTCATAAGGAAATGTATCTCGCCCTACTGATTGAACCAAAAGGCACCGTAAGATTGACGAGCCCGGAGAGGCGAAAAAGGTCTTTCTAGTACTGCATAAGTACTATACCTGAACCCATAAAAAGCTCAAAGCATCATTTTATCCAAGCTTATTATCTAAAGGGATAGCTTGAACTTGGTAGTATTTTTAATGCAATCCGCACTGCTATGATGTTTTCTATGTTCTTAAGAGAATTGAGTGGTGAGCAAAAGCACGACTTCAAGCGGGAATCGAACCCACGTTCGTCCTATCCGGGGACGCGTGCTCTACCACTACACCACTGACCATTATCATTATCAATATGACCATTATCATTATCACTTTCATCGCAATATCATTGTCACTATCATTATCACTTTCGCTATCATTATCACTTTCACCATCATTGCCATTATCACTATCATTATCATTATTAATATCAGTATCATCAATATTATCACTATTTCTATCGTTACCACTACCATCATTATCGTTAACATTATCGCTGCCACTCTAGTTCTCATCTTCACCAAAATTATCAGTATGGCAATTATCATTGAATGAAGGTATCACTAATTTTATCAACTACAAGTTCTACTGTCAGACACTGCAATGTTGAGCAGTGTTTATGTGTCCTTATGAGACCTCACAAACAGCTCAAACAGTGACAATCATTATTACTAGCATAATCATTAGCATTACCGTTAGCGTAATCATTATCATTATCATAATAATTATCATTAAAGCTATCACTTGACGGTGTAGTTTAGTTGTTGAAACTTAGAGAAATACAAATGGAATATGGAAGATATAGATGTTCCCTTTACTAGGTACATCCCTGGTAGAGCCCCTTCAATAGAATTCCATCACTTCACGACGTAAATGCTCCCTCAGAACCGATTCGTCTCCTCGCACCCATCATGCTGTCTGGTGTGTGTCTTCTTACGAAGTGTGTCACCTTCCTCACAGGGTGCGATGCCACCACTGCAGTAGCTGATATCTGATGTGATGGCGCGGTGTGGGACGAAATGTCCCACGTGGTCCCTAAAGGGTTAACACAAATCGCAATTGGTCATGTTTTTGGAGACGATGTTTACAAGTCTATAGAAACTTATTTGTTTCCAGAAATATTGCTTCCTCCAAAAATTTATCACTAGAAACACAATTCCCAAGACCGACTGTCTATTTACCTCGGCATGCTTTAATACAATTCCTGATTTTCTTCTTTATGCGAAACACGAGGTGTTACAATAAACTTTATTTGACAGCTGACGTTTCGACAGTTCGCCTTCTTCAGAGCCGCTTTTCATATGTGCTCCACCGAATGATCTAAATGGAGACCATAGAAAGGAGGTCATATAGGCTCGTAATGCCAAAACAAACAATTAAAAAAGAAGAACAGTTGAAATTTGAACAATTAAAAACAAATCACGAAGAAACTAATTTGACAAATACTTCGTCTTTAGCTCATCGGAATGGGCACTTCTTCCTGGAATAGTACGGTTTATCCGCACGTTCGGGTGGATCTCCCGCGACGATGGACCCATCATCATTCACGGGTGGGGTTTTGGATCCTTGAAAAAATCAAAAGACGGCATGACTTTACAAGATGTATTATTGATTCAAACCATGAAAAGACATTTGATCAATAAGCCACCCGCATAAAAAGGATCTCCTATGGAAAAAATACGGGTAAAAAAACAAACCACTCCAAATCTTTCTTGAACTTGTGCCCGTATCCAACGACTACGGCGCTCGTCTTCGCTTGACAGCGGCAAGCCATCTGCCAAATGTGCGAGCGTCCTTCTGAGCCGCGTCTTCTTCGGAGCGCCTTACGTCGGCTAAATTCAAGACATCACAATTTCTTAAAGCGCTAACATTGAATGTATGTAGCAGACGAATGTAATCAAACGGCCCAACAGAAGAAAATCAAAAAAGATATGTATGGAAAAAGAACCTGATCCGTTGAGCTACATGGCTCCATCTCGACCTGAGCGATGACCTCAGCGAGTCTGAACAATACAAATTTCAGAAACCCATCAGAATTATCAAAAAGTTTCCTTGATTTTGATGATTTCGAATTGAGTTACCACTAAGAAAGTATGAATCTACCTTTTCTCACTTCTCGGTCGACTGGTCGGTGGACCAGCCTCTTCAGGCACCACCTGGAACCATATATTGAGTCTCAAGCAATATTTCTCTGACCAGAGCAATTAATCTCATTGTTGGCTTGACTATCGGTACGACATTGTCTCCTCCTGTCAAAGGAAAATGGCACTGGGACAGTGAACCTTTCATGGTGGCGATTTTCCCTAAAGTAATCTGCTCTCCATACAAGATGGACTTTTGCAACTTCCTCCAAGATTCAAAGCTCTGAGATATTTGGTGAAGGCTTCAATTTCAAAAAATCAATGTAGAGCGGTGTGCAAAAACATTTGCTTCAGTTGATATTCAAACCCATATTTCACCTTATCCGGGGGCGCGTGCTGAATCGTTGCACTACCGCTGTTTCAATTTGCGTCCCCACAATAGGGTGAAATGTGGGTTTGAATACCAACTGACGCAAATGTTTTTGCAACCACTCTACATTATTGGGTATATTGTAACATTATACCACCTCAAGAGGCAGTCAAATAAAATGAATTCTCATTCTAAATTCCTTTTATTTTGACTGCTACTTGCAGTGGTATGATGTTATAGTATACCCAATATGTGGAGTGCTGTGCAAAAACGTTTGCGTCAGTTGGTATTCATCTGGGTTCGAATCCCAGCTGACGCAAACGTTTTTGCACAGCACTCCACATATTGAATTCTCATTGTTTGTCATGGAATTCTTGAACAAAATGGAAGAAAAGGAAAAGTGGTGAGAAAAGTGAAACAAAAATGTCAAAAATCTTAACGAGAAAGGGAATTAATACCCTTGGAGGAGGATAGACACGCAACGTTGCGCAAACGGCACGTTTTCCATACGTGTCCGTTCTTCTCCAACAAAGTGTATGACTGAGGGGCGTGGTCGAAGCAGTCGAGCGTCTTTACCACAAGTGGCAGAACTACGCGATCGTGCCTAAAATAGGAAGACCAATCTCTTTCGAGAGGTGTTCAGCTGTTAGGTACAACTCAAAATGGTTATTCATTCTGCAGGTTGGAGATAAAAGTCAACAATTGAAATTTACTCTCTATTGATGAACACATACGTATCTATCAAAAGATTTTTTCTGTGCAACACTGACTGACGTTTTGGCTTCGCATTGAACAAAGTTCGAAAGAGTATGACACGCAGTCTACGCTACTAAACACTCTCATAGCCTCACTAGAAAAGTCTCAATACATGCTCAGTCACATAGTAAATATTCTCCTTAACTATCACCATTTTGTTTTTTTTTTGGCCTTTCAATAATTATGGAATACCGGCCGCACTGAATTTTACATTTGCATGGACTGTGCTTCATTCATGATTGTCACGGAGAGGGGTTACGAGGCACTCATCCTTGTCATTCATTTCCAAACCATAGATTCCATCCAAAGACCTCTGAGACTTTTGTGCGCTGAAGTCTCGAAATATCCTGTGTGAAATCTGAACTGAGCACCAATATCCTAACAAGGAGTCTAAAACATCTACGCGCGAGACTTTTGAAGTCTCTTGGATAAACGCTAAAAGTTAAGATATGAACAGCAAATGTGTGCGTCTGTAATTACGAGTGAACTCGCACAACATCATAGGTCGATTTTTTGATCCGAACCAGGCACAAATGTCGTTCATGCGAGACTTAATGTGGCTGGTCCTATAATGACTGGCGAACCAACAAGGAGCAAAATGGTGAGTCTGATAAAGTTACTTGAGCATTTCATGAGGTTATAGGAAGTTTTATAAAAGGCTCAAGAGATGTTGCCACAAAATGCATGGCACACCCCTTATGAATTACTTAATGTCGAGCGCTTCATCCTTTGCCGATGGATGAATTTTTGCGTTATTTTATTTAGTAACACAGTTGTTGATATAGTCTGTCGACGCGGTCGAGGCCTTGCAAAGCTAAGTTGGGAGGAGTGTCAACAAAGTCGGCCTTCGTTCAACGTTATGTTGTTTTTGCAAACTTGCACCGGATACGCCGTGATTCAGTTGGACTCTTACAGCTCGCTGAGAATTTCTCTTAGAGAGCAAGCACACCTTTGGTTTTCTAAACATCTAAGCTATCTACTGGCTATTATAAAGCGATGGCATGATGCCAATGTTGCGAAATCCACCTACACACCTGTGCAATAAGGGCGTAGCACGGAATGCAATCTTAATTTTAGTGTTACAGAGCAATAAAAAGTTGTTTGGAAAACCATAAAACATTTTTCAGTTTGTCGAAATTCGTGCTATCGAGTGATCTGTGAATTTTCTAAGGAGAAGCTCTGCTTTGCGGAAGAAGCTTGAGTGTGAAACAAAGCTTTATTTTTACTGTTGCAGCGTAATGTAAAAGCCATTTGAAGAACAAAGTGTAGTTTATAAACTTTCGAGATCTATAATGTCTTATGAGCTAATTTATCCAAAAAGTGCAAAAATCACGTTTTCTGAGTATGGGTGCGGATAGGGGAAAGTGCATAAAAATCTTGCAATTCTGAAGTCATTTAATCTCAGAAATACCCCAAGTTTTGGTAGTGCTTGTAAAAAGGAAATCGATCAATTGTTAGTCGAAAGAATGCTGTACACTGCATGTAATGACATTTTATCAATACCTCTTGATGATTCTCAATTAATAGTAATCTTCTAGAGTTTTAACTTCTTTGAATTATAAAGAGACTATAGCAACTGACGCTACATTCGTTGCTATTTTCTTCATCGTGGACGATCGTTTAGGTAACCTCAACGGACGAAAGGACGGAAGAACGGATGTGCAGCGGATCTATGCGGGCAGTGGGCCGACGACGGCGGCAGTCGAGCGCCTGGAGCCGATCCGTGCGGCCGCCTGTCTATCTTTCCCTTCCTAGACGTGTCCCCTCTCCTTATTGTCTATTAGTAGCTCTCTATGATGTTCATGACTTAATATAGCCTCGCTGAATACGTATCGATCGCTGATGACCACCTCACATAAGACGTGTTGGATTATGTACCATTTTGGCATGATTATCGATTATTCATAATTTGATGACGATTAAAATGCAAGCCCGTGCCACGGAGACGAACATAGTAGTGGGAGTCATGGGCGACTCACTCCCGAGGGATAGGTAGCGGGTTTGTAAGACGATCTTGAAACACACTATGTAAAAACAATTGATATATGAAAATGGAGAAAACTTATCTTGATTAGAGCCGAATTTCTACA